TTCTATCACAGAAATTGGAAGACCATAGTTTCTTTGAAAAGTAATTGTGCGTCCTACGCGCTTTTCTGTATTTGCATTCACTGTTTTAGTGAATATCCGGCCAAATCGTCTCTACCAAAGCATTTGTAAGGTATTTGAAAAGGATAAAGAAAGTACACACAAACATACACATCGAGTTTTTAAGCAGACAAAGCTGGCTGCATCATGCACTGCGATGACTGAGATAGTTGTTTATATATTTGTTTATTATCCATTGCTCATAGTATCACAACAATTTGTGGTTGGTTAAGGAACTTTAGTAAAGACTAAACGTTCAGTTTTTAATAGTTTATGTGAACCAGAGAGAATTTACTAACGTACATGTATATGTCCTCTGTACTATCATTGCACTGTATGATGGAATATGATACCATTTGCACTCAAGATACACACAATTTAAACAGCAAAGTAGTCTTTGACAGCTTTATCCATCATAGTCCAAACCAAGTATAAACGTAATCTCCGTTCCGTTTGAGTATTCATTGAAAATACAGTATTTGTATACAGATGGCGAATAAATTAAACTACAAGCAGTATTTTGCGTTGATGGCAGATATTTGATCATCTTTGTTAACATTGTTTAACTATTTGGGAGCTTGACACATTGTATTGACACATGCCTATTGTTAGAAACCGTATTTTAAACGCTAGATGTCTTTTGGTTATTAGTGTTGTTAGGTTACTGGATTTGAATAATTTTTAATGAAGGCTGCAAATATAAATAAGTTCTATCACAGAAATTGGAAAACCATAGTTTCTTTTAAAAAGAAATTGTTCGTCCTGCGCGCTTTTCTGTATTTGCATTCACTGTTTTAGTGAATATCCGGCCAAATCGTCTCTACCAAAGCATTTGTAAGGTATTTGAAAAGGATAAAGAAAGTACACACAAACATACACATCGAGTTTTTTAGCCGACAAAGCTGGCTGCATCATGCAATGCGATGACTGAGAAAGTTGTTTATATATTTGTTTATTATTCTTGAGCACTGTAGTCTTTCAAATTTCCTCCAATGTGACGATCTATATTAAATAATTCAATAAAACTTGTATCGATCATGATATTTTAGGTCGAACTTTTTATCTGTTTCATCAGCTGATTCTGCGTATTTTTCGAGTCCTTCGGGGTATTAGTTTTGTATATTTTCTTTGGTTGTAAAACATTATGGTCATATGGGTTTATTGGTCTATTTGAATGTTTGGATTACGTTATGAGATTAAATGAACAGTTTGAATGTAATTTGTTTTCCATTTAAGTGTAAATTCCAGTGGGGCCTCCAGTTTGTTTAGATATTCGTTAACTAAGTAGTACTTAATTTACTGTTGTGTAGATATTTGCAAGGTTTTGTTTGTTTGAATCTATACCGTGTATTTAAAACGCAGTTCTGTTATCACCTTTATTAGACCCCGTTCACATTTGGACATTTAGATCGATTTAAACCAACGATTTGTCGTGACGTCAGCCTATTCATTTACCGTGGATTCTTTTTCTAGAATCAACGCTTCCTAAATCTGTTGCTGAAATAAGCTCACCAAATTATAATCAATTGCTTCCTTTGTTTGTCTAATTTCATTAAGTTTGAATTGGCTAATTCACTGATTTCTGTTCACTAAGGAACTAATTTAAAAACTTACCTTTAAATTTTGTAATTTTTATGTCACTGGGAATCTCGAACCTCTCCTTCAATTCTGTTATGTGTGACTGACATCAACACATCGACGAAACCTCTCGGCTACCAATGGGTTTCAATTTAGATGTCTATTTTATATACATAAATGAATATGATACACATCGGTACAACGGACACACAGGGCTTGTACCTTTATACATAATAATGGAGACATAGCTTGATATCGATATAAAACCAGTGAGCGTTCACATTATCTTTAGTCCTAACGATATCTGAATTCGACCCCCGATCAGGTTAAACCTGAAACTTGAAAATTGAGTTGGTATTTGCTTTTTTCCCCTCTATGCTCGCAACATTTAGTAGTAATTGCAAAGACATCGTCGGCTCAGAGTCAGCATACGGTTTCTGCGGATTTTTAACTTGAGAACTAGCACGTTAAACAACCTTCTTAGCGTGTTGGTCTAGTACAAAGCATTAGGGTCGATAATAAAATCAGATTAATATGTACTCGTTCTGATATGCATGTTTTAGACCATTAAATGTTAAACATTAACTGTTGATCGTGACAGCATCATTCATAACGATTTTTTTTGTTCTTTTCAGCGAATATCCGAATATATGTACAACTTACTAGATATTTTTAATAAAAAGGGAGAATCGTTTTTGCTGAAAAAGCAAAAACAAAACAAATATAACAACTACAACATATATAGTAAAACTTTTATTGATACCGAAATCCAATTTTATTTTCTATATAGAAATTTCTTATACGATAAAATTATGTAGTAGTTTACTATACATTGTAACTTTCAGGAGAATAACGTATATTATCAAAAACATCTACAGGGTTAAAAAAAAATTGTTAACACAGCTTATTTACAATATTTTATAAACAAATACATAAAAAAAATATCAGGAGTACAACAGACCGCACCAACCACCCATATCCAACTCCTCTGAGACAAAAGACGTACAAACAAAGACAAACACCAACAAACAACACGTAATCAGGATAGCCTGACTTAGAACAGAACAAAATGTGATTGGATTAAACCAGTTTTTCACCTGCACAAACCTTCCTCCTTTGCCTATCCAGACTTGTCACAAACTATGTCCAGTTCTTTAACAATCCTCAGAGCACTAGTCAGACGAACTGATTCAGGCAGCATATATACATGGTGGAAAGCTTGTGGTGTTCAGTTGCAACTTAAAAATACGTTCATCTACGAACTGTTCTTTAGTAAAATTACAAACATTAACGCTTTCGGAGAACATTTCATTTGTTTTGTCTAAGTCGTGTTTTATTTTATTTTTATTTCTATAACATTATTTGATGTTTATTCTGGTTATTTTGGACATTTTAGATATTTCGAGAACATTTGTGAAAAAAAAATGGTTTGAAAATGTTTTATTTTTTTTCTGTAATACATTGTGAAACTATGCTATTGATAATATCTTGATAATGTTTTACAATTTTTTTTTACACAATAGGTTTAAATGTTAACGGTTCATATTAATATTGAGACAATATGTTCGTGACATTTAATTTAACATTTGAACGTCATTTCAAAGGAAACAAAGGTATTTGAATGGATTAGTGGATTTCCTGTTACAGCGAATTGCAATTTATGAATCGTAATTATATTCGCTGCTCATATTCTCAGACAAAAACTATGAAATAATACCAGCATTTTGTAAGTTTTCGATTAATCGATTTATGACTACTGAACAGCGGTATACTACTGTTGCCTTTATTTGGAATATAAAATTGAGAATGGAAATGGGGAATGTGTCAAAGAGACAACAACCCGACAAAAGAGCAGAAAACAGCCGAAGGCCACCAATGGGTCTTCAACACAGCATGAAAATACCGCACCCGGAGACGAGCTTCAGCTGGCCACTAAACAAAAATGTGTACAGTGAAAATGGACGTCACACTAAACTCCAAAACATATAAATGAACTAAAATTAAAAAACATATAAGACTAACAAATGCCAGAGGCTCCTGACTTGGGACAGGCGCAAAAATGCGGCGGGGTTAAACATGTTTTGTGAGATCTCAACCCTCCCCCTATACCTCTAGCCAATGTAGAATAAAAAAACACACAGCAATACGCACAGTAAAACTCAGTTTAAAAGAATTACGAGTCCGATGTCAGAATAGGTAACAAAAGAAACTAAGCAAAATAACAATGATACATAAATTAACAAAGGATGTATGAATATATCCTTATATGACTATTATTTGAATGACAGTAGAGATTCATTTGTAATGATTATATCCATTAAATTCAGATCTGAAGATTGCATATTTTGATAGTTCATATTAGCGTATTTTCTTCGTTCGTCTCAACTGGATGTATGTACCAATAAACATCAAGACTGACATGGAAAATAATGCGACAATATTTTGCCAGAAATTCCAATTCGTTTCATATGCGATGTCTTGTTTTATAAGATAAACGTTGCCAGTGATAGAACTGGAAATATAAAAATACAATTCATTTTAAAAACTAGTTCTTTCTTTTATTGATCAAGAACGATACATACCAGATGACACAATCTCAGAAGCACATGCCGTGTGCATGGTAATCTGTATTTCACGGTTATATCAAGCACAATCAAAAGAACATTACGTTGTTAAAATATAAATAATTTCTTTATCAGTATTTTAGAAATGTGTAGTTGTTCCTGTATTATTTCACTGGAGATATTCCTATACTTGTTTCTTTTATGTTCGTTTTGTTAATATACTGATCTAAATCAGAAAGGATGAGGGTTGTTATAAATCAAAAAAAATATTTTCATCACGCCACAATAGCATGTTCCTATCCCCAATCTCGTCAATAGTTGTCGGATATCATTTTTTATATTTTTCATTTATTTTCAGGGGAATGGAGGTTTAATGGCAGATCTTTTAATGTTTCTGTTGAATTTAATTCCAGTCAGCTATGGTGTAGTTTTGAAATAATTGTTTGTTATTATTCTGTTTGTGTATGTGTTGTTTTGTTTGAATGTAACATATTGTACCTTGTTGTGTGGAGAGAGCTTACATAGGCTTTACCTGTCGCCCAATCCAATTTAATTTATTTGAATAAAGTATTGTTTAAACCTATTCAAATTTTACTTTGATGCTTAACATATTGTATGGACACTTATCTGTTGTGGAATACTGTATGTTGACCTTTTAGTTTTGTGTGTCGTTGGGTTGTTGTCTCATTGACGTATCCTCACTTTTCCTTTTATTCATAATTGTTTATCGAACAAGAAGAAAACCCCGTTTTCGGTATATAATTATGTTTCTTTGAAAAACAGTCATAGTCTGTGAATAACCTACCACAAATCAGTAGTTCCATTTATAAAAGTCATATTATTCAAAGTCAAGTCTTTCAATTCAATTATCTCTAACGCCTAAAAAGTTAAATAAAATAGTTATAATGAATGGGGAAACACACATAAATTATGAACACATTACAATACGCAACAACTTCGTAAGCAAACCACGAAGTAGTAATTAACAATTGAACTAAGTTTTTTCGTTTGAATTGTTTCACATTTTGTCATGTCGGGGTCTTTTATAGCTTACTATACGGTATGGGTTTTTCTCAATGCTGAAGACCATACAGCGACATATAGTTGATTACATCTACGTCATTTGGTCTTTGGTGGATAGTGGTCTCATTGGCAATCATACCACATCTTCATATTTTTATAAAGACCCGCTTATGAAATGTAAAAAATAGTTTTTGTTCTTATATTTAATGTTTTTGTGTTAGGTTTTTTTCAGCTTTGCAACTTTCCTCTGTATCTCGTCATACGTATTTCCTTTTTCGTCCTTTTTATACATAATGTATTTAGATCATTAACACAATTATATTTTTCTTGCTGATGGAACAGATACAATCCTTACATACCCAATACAGATTACAACTTTACTTTGAATAAACAACGAAGGGGGAACTTATACCTGTTTCAATAAATTATAAGAGGGTTGATGAAATTAAAATAGACAATGAAGGTTAAGTAAAATTAACCTTTGAACGAGTTTTCTATCTATTTTTTTCTTATTTTAGTTATAAAAAAACATCATTTCATTATGGTTAACTATTCAACCATTTTTTAAAATTTCCATAGCTTTCTGCGTTTTTAACCTTAATTTAAACATCATAGAAACCAGATATATCATGAACTGTACATGTATCACCTTTCTACATGCCAATTTTCAACCAATTTTTAAAGTCTTGCAGTGAAAAATGAGCGTTCGGAAGGCATCTACTACTAAATAGTAAAACAACAAAAATACCGAACTCCAAGGAAATTTCAAAACGGAAAGTCTCTTATCAAATGGCAAAATCAAAAGCTCAAACGCATCAAACGAATTGAAAACAACTATCATATTCCTGACTTGGTACAGGCATTTCCTTATGGAGAAAATGGTGGATTATACCTGGTTTTATAGCTAGCTAGACCTCTCACTCGAATATAATGCCATTATATTGACAACAATATGTGAACAAAACAAACAGACATGATAGGAAAACATGTCAAAAATAGGGGTGCAGCAGTCAACATTGTGTTATATAATCTTAATCACTATAAAAACAAACAAATATGTCAACAAAGAAAATCAAAATGGCATATGGACAAAGCACATAAGCAAAAATGAATTGACAAGAACACAAAAAATGACCATAGCACAATAACACAATGGCGGGATGTATAAGTACCGAGTCACGCCAAAAGGATATTACCAAAAATTGACTAAACATTAAAGGTTAATAATTTACAAAGACAAATAAAAGAACAGTATAACACGCAATTAAGATAATAAACAACGTCAGTATCTAGAACCAATACTTAAAAAAAAAAAAAAATAAGAATCTATACTTCAAGACCATCATGTATTTTTTTTTGTAAAGTTTGTACGGAATATGTATCAACAAGGTCTTGGTATCTTCCGATGAATTTTTTTTAGAAAAAGGACAAGATGTTCTTTGACATAACCCTGGTTCATCAACTTTCTGCTAAAGTATGAGTAGCAGCTGCAAACTCTTGAATACCGAAAGAGTTGGGAAATGTATATCCCATATGCAGTTGAAGTTGGTATATTGCTACTACGGTGAGGGAAATTGATAATTTCAAAATTAAAATCGTCTCGTTTGTCATAGATTCTGGTACTGAGATAGCCGCGTATGTCAAATTCGAAGTATAAGTCTGAAAATAAGGCGGAGGAGTCCGTGTGTATTGTTTCTTTAATTTCCAGTTCTGGAGGATATATTAATGAAACCCAATCAGAAAAGTTTGGATTGATAATGGAAAGAACATCATCAATATATCTGAATGTGAAATTAAATGATCTGGCGTCTGTGATCTTCTTGTTTTTGACAAGTGTCTGAAGGAACTCCGACTCATATGAAAATAAGAAGAGGTCGGCAAGGAGAGGCGCACAGTTCGTTCCCATAGGAATGCCAAAAAGTCTACCTCCAAATTCAACAAATATTTTGTCAATAAGAAACTCCAGCATACTGATCACTTGTTCCTCTGTGTAGCATGTTTTACTTTTTTGTTCACTATTTACAAAATATGCCGTATGGTATCCAAAAGTAATAAATTTATAGCGTTTGCTACAATTTTATATTGAAAAGCATTTTTGGATTAATTCTTTTAGACGACTTTTCAACTTCACATGGGGAATGGTTGTATACAGGGTTGAAAAATCAAAAGTTTTGATGGAATTAATTCAGAGAAAGATCGAGATTTAAAATTATCCAAAAGTTCTTTAGAGTTTTTTTAGAATCCACATATGGTTAATACCACTACGCGAGTAAACAGTTTCACAGTATTTCTGAAGAATAAAAATAACCCCTGGTTTTCTGGAAATCTCAAATAAGTATACTTTGGAGCGGAATAATCCGCAATTTTTAAGTATACTAATGGACACGTAAAGTTTAGCTCAAAATGGTCTAAATACATTTCTCTTTCACCAAATGTTTCATTTCTGCTAACTTGTAGGTAAGGTTAAGTAAACAATGACACGAAAAGCACTATTTTTTTGGTCAGGGAAGGGCGACTTTTACATATGTTTTAAATTGGAGAGGGTGAATTGGTGGTCTGACACCTAAACTAACTACCAGAGGAAAGAATGTCATTAACTTCTTTATTCAGTTTCATTGGAGTTTTAAACAATGTTATAATTTTTTTTTTAAATTTAAATTTCTGCCCAATGATACAACATCGGTAAATATAAATTCTGTATCAAATAATGTATAAATTACTATTCATAATTTCGTGATTCCGAAGCTCTTTGTTGATTTAATGTCATTAGTAACGTTCAAAACAAGGATGTATGAATATGCAGAAATTTTGGATCTATTTGACCAAAAGGGACCTAAAAAGAATAGCCAAATTCTTGCAGCTTTGCCTGAGCGAGTTGGACCCTTGCTTTCTTAATGATTTCTTAACTTATCAACATGGAATTTTAGAAATGTATATTAAAAATCATGATAGTACCAAGCACTGATTACTGATCTGTTGATATCAATCCACCAGCAGTGGCATCGACCCAGTGCTAGTAAATAAAATGACATTTTAAAAATTTCGTGCGTCCAAAGTGTTTTTCTGGATTAGTCTATATCAGGTACGCTTTAACCGAAACTTTTGAAAGCCAGGAATGCATGAATACGTAGAAACGTGAGAAGCGATATGACCAAAAAGAAACCTGCCTTTAAAAACAAAGGATACCCCTTATTACCTATCTAATTATCCTGTATGCTGCAGATCAAGCAATTAAGCTAAGAAATAAAAAAAAATCTGCAGCACTTATCTTTTCAAAATTGTAAATGAGGGGTGTTAATTATGAACATTACATTGCTAGCTTTTGAGCCAATGCAATTTATACTGAAGTTTTTCTTAATTGAAGCCAGCATGATTGGGTGGGCTGCTATGGAATATCTGTGTCCATTTGTCGAATCCCTTATCCACTTCACAATCTTCAACCGGAAGTTTGCCTATTATGAGCAATACGTCAAATGTCAATAGTGGAGCGGAAACTTCTATTCTTCTAGGGCACCGAGCTCAACATCGTTTTACGTGGCGCAATCGTTAGTTTTCTACATAGCGTTTTGTAGCTTGTTTTTCTTTTCATCTTTTTTCGGCTAACCATGATGTCTTTTTTCGACCTGTGCTTAAAGATTGCACAAAAATGCCCGATTCCTTGCATTGTCTTTCTGATTTTTTTATGACAAAAAAAATAAATTAATGACATCATTGACAGAATATCATTCCTTAAATAATCTTGTATGGGGAGGAAGTAAATAATCAAACGAAGATAATCTGTGTGCAGACCAAAATCTATGTTAGGGTAAAGATCCTTTTTATAGTTGGGACCAGTTCTAACCACTCCTAACAATGTCTCCAGAACAGTTTTCCTAATAGCCTTAGAACAGTTTCTGACAGCCTTATCTTTGAAGTGTTTCGTTCTGACAGAACCGATTCTACCTTCATCAAAAAAATAAAACACAATATATGAATTTAAAAAAACGCGTATGCTACCATACAAAACATACTTTATAAATTACTAATTGAATTTCTGAAAAATGGTGTATTTATCATTTTCACGGAGGTCCTTTTTGCTTGTAAATGCAGGTACAAGTAATTGTTGATTACATTTTATTTAATCCGAAAGTTACAGTGCTTTAGAAATTATTAACATTGGTGGTTAGAAGATTAAAATATATAATACCTACATTAAGACCATATCTGAACGTACTAAACCATTGGATCCATCGTAACCGATCTGGTATTGACTTTAAATTAACCAACAAACCACCGAATATCTGTAAAAATAAACTTTAAAATTTGTTCTCGCTTTATAGTGACAAATCTTATAAAATGGCACCTTAGATTATTGCTATTATACAGTTCTTAGAGTTACGAAAAACATGAAATAGGTGTATTAAATAAATTGTAGGAACTTAGTGTCTTTAATGCCAGTGTGTGCATGGTAAACATGTAAATACAAAAAGTGAACTTCCTAATAAAAATTGACATTAAAATTATCAAATGGATAAACATTCAAATGGTAGAAACCTATAGGAGGAGTTGATTAGACAAAAGTATATAAAAAATGTTTTCCCAATCGCCCTTTTCTATACTGAATCAGATTTCTACTTATATTTCTATCAGGTCAAAATCTGATAATGTCTGAAAAAGACTACACATTCGTTAGTATAAGCACATTCTCACCATCATAAAGACATATGTAACAGCAATCAACACGTTAGCCAAACCCAAATCCGTAACGCATGCACTAAAAAAAAATGCAATGCTGGTTCCTGACATAGCCACCATGAGCAGTGTAAGACCATACAGGAAAAATTTCCCCTCTTCAGATCTTAAACCTAAAAAAGCATAGATGAGAATACAAAATAATCAAACGAGTTCTATCGATCCTTTCGTGATAATATGCTGGCATGCTTAGTTAACGAATGCGAAAGTAAAATTTGAATGGACATTACTTACCATGAACACTACAAAATATAGCTTTTGTCATCTATAACACCTTATAAAATATTATCATGAAAAGATGGAAACCTTAATGTTAGTCGCAAAAACAATTATGTATAAATACTAAAAAAATCTGTCTTTTAAAAGGCAATTAACCTTTTAAACATCTCTTAAATTTAGTAAGGATATTAACCATTTTTTAAAGAGAAAACTAGTTTTTTTCTTAATAATAAAATATAAATCATTACTGGCTATGTCAATACCATGATCCTATATAACCAGGATACATATTCTATGGTTGGTGATGTCCTGCATGCAGCAACGTTAGGAAAATACTTTTATGGATCATTTTAGACTTGTTGTAAAACAATTTATGTTTTATAATATGAATTACATCCTTCCATATTTTTACAATGCTTATAAAAAAATATATATTATATATATTATTTGTTTATTACCAAGCATGAAATGTGTGGTCACAGAAAACAGAAATACAGGAATCAGTCTCATTGGTAAAGAATCGCATATAATCTTAGAAAAGAAATATGCCGACACTCTGTAAAATCCACTTAAATTTTCATGTCTGTAAATAAAATTAAAAGGTATTACATACAAATAAAAAAAAAATCATTGAATATTCGAAATGTATCAACGGACAAAAAATAAAAAACGAAAAAAGAACAACATGTACTTTTTACAGTAAAACATTTATAATTTTTCACACATACTCTTTTACTCAAATATGAAATAAATACACAATATTTTGGCTGGCGCGGAACAATAAACAGCAAATTTCGACTCTACATTTGAAAATGTTCGTTCATTCTTATCCTTCGCTCGAGCTGTGATCATATATTTGTTTGCTTCGATATGCAGTTTTTTTTTCATTTCTTAATTCTATGACACAGTTCATAATTCATTGTGATTACACAGTTCATAATTAATTGTGATTACACAGTTCAAAATTCATTGTGATTACACAGTTCATAATTAATTGTGATTACACAGTTCAAAATTCATTGTGATTACACAGTTCATAATTCAGTATGATGTACATGGGAGGTGTCCGTTGTTATTCTGTGGTTGACATGTTGTAATGTGCTATTATATTATTTATTTATGTATTTCGCGGTCCTGAGTGTTCTCGCGTTTATTTGTACTGTTTTCCTGTCACGAACTGTTGTCATTTTAGCAGTATGTTTTACATTGCCATATAAGCGGGAGGTTTGGCTAGCCATAAAACCATGTTCAATCCACCATTTTTTTCTAAAAATGTCCTGCACCAATTCAGTAACATGGCAGTTGTTATCAAATAGTCCGTTTCTATGTATGTTGGCGTTTGTTTTTGTAGCAGTTCAGTGTTTATGTTGTTCCATTGTTTTCCTCTTACAGTTGATCTGTTTTCCTCTGTTTTGGTTTGTAACCCGGATTTGTTTCAGTTAAATAGATTTATGACTATTGAACAGCGGTATACTACTGTTGCCTTTATTTATAGGTAAGTTAAGTGAATTACGAAAGTTTCCGTTCCCAGAAAACTACTATTATCCTCAAACCGTTTGGTTCAATTTATTGTCGCACTTTTACTATTTGATTGCGTTTGTGGTTGGTGCATTTTTCATGTGTTCCATATCTATTTCATGATAATTCGTGTATATGTCTTACTCACATAAAAATTGGTCTTTCTTTTACAAATAATTCTACAGCTGATAAACTTGAAAAGACAATGTTCAGCAAAATGAAGAAAAGAGCACCGACTCTGTGAATAAACAAAAAGAGTCATTCACCCATGATTCCATAAAAACCTAATGATAAAAATACTATGATCGTTTCAAATTCTGTTGTCTTGTCCGTTTTTTTTTCTTCTTATTTTGATTAAATTTTTTTAAACAACAAAGTTGAAACAAAAAGGATATATATTTCTTTTAAGCTAGCTTTCGGTTAGGTGTAGTTTTCTTTTATTTACTTTTAGTTCACCCAAGGGTCCTCTTCTCCCATACGCATACTTTGATCGAAATTTCTATTAAGTAAATTTTTCTAATTTTACATTTTAACGAATTGTGTACTTTGGACCTAGGAAGTTGTGTACATTTTAATTCAGATGAATATCGAAAAATGAATAGTTCACTTCCGGTTTTGAGTGATTTGAGGTGCTGCATCTTTTATTTTCTGTGTAGCAATTCTCCGGCATAAGTATTGTGTTTAGTTTGTTTTCTTCTTTTTACCATATTATTGCTTGCCTTCTTCGTCTTATATATTTCATTGTCAAGTTGGTAACGTCTCTGAAAATATCTAAAGAATCAGCTCACTGAAAGTTTGTTATTACCTGTTCTGTATACCGGTTTCACAATCCCTATCCATGCTCCAATAAATACCTCCAATAATGAGACCAAATATTGTTAAAATAATCCACTAAAAAGAAAAGTTTACTCAAAAAGGGCAATATTTAGAACGGTTAACAATTAAGGAATGCAGATAAATGATTTAGAGAAATATTGCGGCTAGATTACTTATTTATAACAGGCATAAGAAATGTACAAATAATGTGTGAAAACACAAATTTGGTTTGATTTGATTTTAATACTATATCACAAATATTTATACATTTAAGATATACAAATCGCGTGTTTTATTATTTGATTAATCACTTTTGAACAAAGATATGCATGCAAATCTATAGATGGCACTTTTAAACAAATTGACACAAGAAACAATCTTAATATTCATAGTTTTGTCTGGTATGAACATTGATAAGGAAAAGTAGCGGCTACTTTTACTTACATGTAAAATTGAAAGTTTGGGATTCCTCAGTAAATTCAATAAAGTTCTGCTTGATATCACTCTAAACTGAGGTAAAAGAACAAATATAGATATCTTGGTAATTCAAATATACAAATGATAATTATAAAAAAAAAATATCACTATTTCTTATGTCTTAGTTCGAATGTCAAACTTCCGAATATTTACCCTTCCGTTTAGGTTCGTTTTGCTCAGTCGTTGGTTTTCTATGTTGAGTTTTTTATGCTATTGTTTGTCTTTTGGTCTTCACTTGCATTTTTTCTTATTACATATGCTATGGTAAATAAAGTCTAGAAATGCTGCTAACCAGCATAAATGACTGGATATTTAAGATAAAATTAAATGTGCAACAATCGTGCCATGGATTCATTATTATTCGTTGGATATCAATTTTCTCGGAGTTAGTGGAAACAGGTGAAGCACGAAATGAAATGTTCAACGAATAACAAATTTTCTATAGGCTTATATGCAGATTTCAGCAAAACCACGAAATCAAATATCCGTTCACCATAATCGACGAAAATGGTACCCACGAAAATAAATGAATCCACAGTAGTTGTCAAGATTAAAAATTGTTCTTACTACTGTATTTTTCTGTTATAACATACCATATTCAAGTCGAGAAAAACAGACAACGCCATGGCAAAAACAACACTACATAAAAGACTAAAGACTGAGCAACACGAACCCCACAAACATCTTTGGGTGATCAAAGATACTCCGGAAGTGTAGGCCGATCCTGTTCCACTTGTGACACCTGTTGTGTTGCTCGTGTAAGTACAAATTCAATGTTGAGTCACATTCAGTGATAACACAATCGAAGAAGAGATGAAGAGATTGTGGTTACTACAATTAAAACATCCGTGTTCAAAAATAAAGGCAACAGTAGTATACCGCTGTTCAATAGTCATAATTCGATTAAGCAAAAACAAATCCGGGTAACAAACTAAAACCGAGGGAAACACATCAACTATAAGAGGAAACCAATGGAACAACAGAAACACTGAACTACAACAAAAGCCAACGCCAACATACATAGAAACGGACTGTCTGATAACAACTGTCATATTCCTGACTTGGTACATGACATTTTAAGAAAAATGGTGGATTGAACCTGGTTTTATGGCTAGCCAAACCTCCCGCTTATATGGCAATGTTAAAAATATCGCTAAAATGACAGCACTACGTGACAGGAATACAGTACAAACTCGAACACTCAGCACAGAGAAATACATAAATAAATAATATGATAGTACATTACAACATGCAAACCACAGAATAACAACGGACACCTCCCATAAATTTACGACAGCACACCAGGACACTACAAACGAAATATAAACTGCCCGTCACATGAATGGATCAACGTCACAAAAAGTGACGTATTTTTTGTGACGTTTATATTATCACAGTAAATTTTTTAAAACAAAATATAGACACGTACAAGAATATTAGATTGGGATTGAGTTTGTAATGGTGTTATTTTATGTATTTTCTAACCATGACAAGAATATTAAAATGGAATTGTGTTTGTAATGGTGTTATAATTTGTATTTTCTAACCATGTCGGTTTTCCTTCTGTGTATAAACAAAATAATCCTGTGCAGAAAGTTGCTTTAAACTTATAATAATATAAATGAAGTAGCTGGTTTTTTTCATCTTAACTTATCATCTGTGACACAAATATCCCATAACGGTCAACCAACTCGTGATAGCGTCCGTAAAACTTTTGAAGGGACGATTTCAACTATCCATTTTGTCGTAAAGTTTTGTTATCAACCGATCCTCATTGTCTGTCTAGAGGTAAGTCTAGATACAAACAAGGCAGACTTAACTGTATCTGTGGTATCCTTTATTTCAAAGTTCGATTGAATAGATGCGTTCAACATAGGTACCATACTATGAATTATGTTATAGAGAAAGTCCAACTAACTGTCCATTCCTGGGAAATAATGGAGCGGAGGCCCGTAGGGCCGACGCCCATTATTTCCCAGGAATGGACGGTTATTTGGACTTTCGCTGACTTAAAATACACCTTTAATATTAAAAACGAATATTTAGATTATAACATTTCAAAGAATTTTATTTTATTTTGTAATGGTTTTCTTTTCATTTTCCCCGTGGTGTACCCAATAATCCACAGGCAAAATTAAAGATCAATCTGACCATCTACTCACTTAACGAAGTATTTATGAACAGTAGAATAATTACTATAAAAAGATCTTGAATACAGTTCATCCAGATTTATGTTTTGAGTCATTGGATACGCACGTCTTTCATGCGGTGAGATTGAAAGGATGTTCATTTGTGTCTTTAAGTGGTATTTCGGGAGAGAGAAAAAACTAATATTTATGCATATATGTTTACGGATTATGTGTGTTTTTCGTTTGATAAATCTTGGATGTAGAATCTTCTGAGAAAATGACATGGTACAACAAAAATAAATTTTCAAATATGTAACACTCTAGTATAGGTTATTTATCTAATAAGGGTGTGCTCGATTTGAAGTCATATCTGAAACAAAATATGATTCTATATTTCAAATAAAATTAAACTAGAAAACAGTGTTTCATGTTTCATGCACAACCCAACATTTTTTTTCGCTCCCTTTGTTCATAACAACGAAAAAAAATTTTATGCATGTTTTAGAGTCTTGAATAACAATACAAGCAAACTGAAAATATTTTTTCATTCTTCCCTATTATCAGAAAGGAGGCAAAAATATTTAGATAAAAAACCCGCGTGATTAAAAACATTTCTAGATTGCGATTTGTATGTCTTTAAGTTAAGTGGAAAACTATGTTTTGATTTTATCTAAACATTTCAAGATTAACGCCGTCATTTGCACTGCCGATATAACTGTTATATTTGCCACTGGACATATAACAACAGTGAAGGAATTCGATTGTGTTACGCGTTTCAATGTCGAAAATTGAATAAAAATACCGCCCAATATTTAACACAAGCCGTATTCAAATGTTATCCATACCCCCTCAAATTCTATTCATTAGTACCATATTCAAATTATTACAACGAAAAATCAAATTATATACCGAATACGCCATTTTGACCATTTCAATTTCTTAAACTATTTATTCTATTTAACCACAATATTATTGTAGAAACTATCTGAGTAATATTTCTTTTTTACTGTACATATTAAAACGGAACAAACGATTTGTGCTGTACAAAATCAAAATACAACACTTTAAATTTCAAGCAAATGATATCCTAAATGGTAAAATTAAAAGCAAATCTGTAAGCGAAATATATTTTTCTCTAATTTTCCTTATTGTATGATGTTAATGTGTTCAATATTGCAAAGGAATTCAACTAGTAGACACATTTGATATTTTGTAGATGCACAGAAGAGGAATGGAAAATATTCGTTTTTACCTACTTGGATACTATCCGTGACAAGATTTGCATCGGAAAACAAATTGTGGATTATGTTGTGGAATCTAGAGTGTGGAATTTTAGTGAAAACGATACTATATTTTATACGATGGAATTACGGCTCGCAAATAAAAGCTGTTTATTAATAAAGAAATATTTGGTGTCCATTGTATTACTACGAGGTCATCCCAATTTAAAAAAAAAACTTCATTTAATGTCAGCCGTTTTAGTAAGTTTCCATCTTCATTCAATATCGCGGTACGTCCTTTAGAACTATTATATCCGGATGAATGAAGATGGACAATAGAAAATAACTCTCCATTCCTGAAAAATAATGGAGAGTTTGAACAAAAGATTTACGTCGCAGGTGTATTTCAATTTGTGAGATGATATTATCTATATTACAGAACATGAAGTAAAACGATAATGCTAGCTTCTTTTCGTCCTGCATGAAAACCTTCTGTGTGAAGTCTGCCACATATGAATAAAGGAACATGTCGGTTAGGATAGGAGCATATTTGCTTTCCTAAATAATGCCGATTGTTTTGGCGAAAAACATGTCCTTAAGCTATAACATATATGTTGTCAGTATTAAAATCAAGCATCTTGATGTTGTCAGTATTAAAATCAAGCATCTTGATGTTGTCAGTATTAAAATCAAGCATCTTGATGTTGTCAGTATTAAAATCAAGCATCTTGATGATGTCAGTCTGACAGAATTTTTTGTTTGAATCAGTTTATTTTTTTTTACTAAATATGATTAATCCTATCCTTTAAACAATTTATTTGTATCTACGTTGGGTTTTTATTTTAATAAAACAAAGTAAGACTATTTATTTTAATCTGTCTTTAAGTTAAGTACTGGGATTACTAGTGTAAAGCGTAGATAAGTCAAATATTTCATACCGTTGAAAGTGTAAAGAAACTTAGATTGTCTGTACTCTTACAGATCTTTGGAATGTTCTAGTATCCACATCTAATTCACACTTTTGCAATAGTAGGTTTTCACAGTTACTCTGAATAAACTCATTAAGATACTAGGATTAAAATTTTGTAAGCCAGACGCACGTTTCGTCTACAAAAGACTTACGAGTGATGCTCGAATAATAAAAGTTAAAAAGGCCAAATAAAATACGAAGTTGAAGAGCCCGGCTTTGACTGCTGATAAAATTGATGTTAATAGTTTGGAAAGATGTCGACTAGTATTTGGTAGACCCAGCAATACAACATTGTTTGAAAGGACACTTATGTAATGTTGGTATCCAGTATTTTGAAGGAAGATGCAGTTCGTCATCTTAAGTTGAAATTCCGAAAAGCCTGAATGTTCAGGATTTCTTTTTTTGGTAACTTTCGTGGGAGTATTTGTTAAGTATCCTTCGCCTCTCTTTTCTTAGTGAAATGTCAATACCTAATTCCGTTATCAAGCAATTTATGTAATGTGATTAACAAACAAAAAACGATGTTTGTCTTAATCTTTGCGTGGACAACAACATAGTTGTCATGGAGGTAGGACAGGTGCTTAACAACATTTGGATCTTTGAAAAATAGATGTAACATGTGTGTTCATAGACCTATTCTAGTTTTTATTTCAACGACCGCCCATCCTTAACCCATTGGAAAAGAGTATCCACCATCAACGTCTTCCTTTTTACGATTAACCCATTGCATGACATAATCCACGATTTAATTGATTATTATCTTAAAGTTTCCAGTAACATTATGTAAGTTTCTTCAATTTATAACCATGTTTTGTATAAGTATGCTCAAAACCAATATCGTTACAATAGTATTCAAGAGAAGACGGCATAAGTGTGTTGTAATTGTGACAGATCCTTTTGAGTTGCTTTCATCACAGAAGACATGTTTAAACTTAACCATCAAATCAAAAGGATACAATAGTTAACATAGTAAAGGCCAAAGTCAACGAAAACCTACATAATTGTATACATTTCATCATATGTTATTTCTAGAATACCTATACTTGCAAGTAATCTATACCTTGAATTTGACATTTGATTCCGTACCAGAATCTATGACAATCAAGACGATTTTAACTTTGAAATTATAAATTTCTCCCCACCTTAGTAGCAATATACCAACTTTACCTGCATACGGGATATACATTTCATAACCCATTCGGTATTCAAGAGCTTGTAGTTGCTCTCAAACTTTATAAATCGTCACCAGTGTCTGAGCAGAAAGATGATGAACCAGGGTTATGTCAAAGAACATCTCGTCCTTTTTCTAAAAATGTTCATCGGAAGATACCAAGACCTTGTTGATAAATATTCCGTTTCAAATTCAAAATAAATACATTATAGTCTTGAAGTATAGATTCTAGGTACTGACGTTGTTTATCAACTTAATTACGTGTTAAAGTGTTCTTTTTATTTGTCTTTGGTGTTTAGTGAATTTTTGGTAATATCCTTTTGGTGTGGCTCAGTTTTTATACATCCCGCCAGTGTGTTATTATGCCATGGTCATTTTTTCTATTCTTTTCTTTCATTTTTGCTTATGTGCTCTCTCTTAAGAGTGTCTATATGCCATTGTGTTTGTCTTTGTTGATAGTTTTTTGTTTTTATTAAGATTATAACACACTGTTGACTGCTGTACCCCAATTTTTGACATTTTTACCTATTATGTCTGTTTGTTTTGTTCACACATTGTTATCAATATAATGGAATTCTATGTGACTGTCATACAAATGAGAGGTTTAGCTATCTATCACACCAGGTTTAATCCTTCATTTTCTAAATAAGGAAATGCCTGTAGCAAGTCAGGAATATGACAGTTTTTTTGCCATTTGATAAGGGACTTTCCGTTTTGAATTTTCCTTGGAGTTAGATATCGTATTATCACATCGTTTTTAGATCAGTTGAACGGTTTTGAAGGATGACTTTATATCTAAAACATTGTTTGGAATAATTGATCTGATGAATATATTATAAATGTTACTTACCTGTTTAAAAAAGCTCGTTGCATATTTTACTTTAGGTGACATATTCAAAGTTTTCGTATCAAATGCTTGGTGGTACTGGTGAAGTATAGGCTTTATTACATTCTGTAATCTAACAACAAATAGAAGACTCAAATGGGCCGCTAGCAATAATTATATCCTGTAACGTGAAGTCCTAAACATTGGTTATGACACTAAAACCTTGCTATGTCAATTACACTAAGATAAAGAGATATATAATGAATTTTACGAATTAACAGATTTTTGGAAAAATATAGTTTCTGAAAGAAATATGCTGATGCAGAATAATGTGTTAGAAAGGGTTCTGGTCATGTTGAATGGTAATAAAAGTTGTCTTACATCTTCTGGAAAATTCTAAACATGTAGAACACCTGAAAGGCACATAAAGAATATGAAAGGACTGAGGGAGGAGTTGATAAAACAAAAGATGTAATAACTCTCAACATAGAACTTGGACAATATCCTCAAAATCAATGCACATAAGAGGTACCTATCTTAAGTGTATATACATATATTATTAATGGTTAGAATTAAAGTAAACATATAAAAATAAAAATGAAATATGTAAAAATATTCTAGAAAGTTTTAAGGCTCTTGATTGAAATCTCTACTACTTTATAATTATACAGAAGAGGTGCCCTCTCTTCCCCTCCATCTTGTCCATCCCATATTCAAAACACTTTTAGCCGGATGTGGACGTAACTTGTAACCGGGCAACAAATAATTTTTATATTTTGCAAGTAATTAATTAAAAAGAAAAAAACCCCATAAAAATGAGGTAGGATTATGCATTCGCGCTAATGCACACAAAATCTTGGTTACCTTTTCTTTTTCCGATAACCTCAATATTCAAATAATTATCTGTTCTAGTGCTTTTACTTTTCTTTAATATTTACATGTTTAATAATTCCTAGGAACTTTATCGAATATATCATGTTTATCTTCAATGCATAAACACACATTTTTTTCTTTAGATTTTTGTATGTTGTGGTACTTTTATGGCATCAGACTTTCCTGGAATCCTTCCAGTTTTAACAATAAACACAGCTTTGTTTGAGACAAATGATCGCTGAACAAAAAGTATGAACTATTTGATCGAAAAATTGTAATTCAAATATGCACTTGTACGATCCGAAATATTTCTTCCCTGTCAGTATATTATTCCCAGAACAAACGGAGAAAATGACTCACGATAATTATCAGATGAATAACCGTAGTTTGCATTTTAATTAGGGTAAATGATGACCTTAAACATGTTAAACAGGTCATTACTCTATGGCTTGAAAAACCTTTCATTGAACTTGGTATTGTTTGGATTGTTTATCGTTCTCAAAAGGAAATAACTCCATATTCTTATATTTAAAAAAATATGATTAAAAACCTTGCATGTGTCTTCTCAATAAAATTTCGTATACGATCCGCAATACCTGACCACCGTTACTTATTCGTAGTGACGGCAATGATAAAGATGTACATGAAACTAGACAATAGTCACCAAATGTGTAGTCAATAAATAACAAATCCACAGTTAAAGATGGAATTCAGCATAATGTTAGAAATAAGATGTGCATCGGTACCCTAATAAAGAGATGTAATAGTCCTGAAACTACTTACCTGGAATTCAATTTTGATTTCCTGAATGATGAAACAATTTTCTGGTGTACATCCACAATATCTTAAACATTAAGAAAAAAGAAATGATGTTATTTAGACACATGTAAACGATATTTTGGGAAAATTAACGCTCAAAATCAGTACAGATATAAGAAGATGTGGTATGAGTACCAATGAGACAACTCTCCATCCAAGTCACAATTTATAAAAGTAAACCATTATAGGTCAAATTACGGTCTTCAACACGGAGCCTTTGCTCACACCGCACAGCAAGCTATAAAGAGCCTCAAAAATTAGTAGTGTAAACCATTCAAACGGGAAAAGCAACGGTCTAATCTATATAAAAAACGAGAAACGAGAAACACTTATGAACCACATCAACAAACGACAACTACTGAACATCAGATTCCTGACTTAGGACAGGTGCAAACAATTGCAGCGGGTTTAAACATTTAAATGGTACCAAACCTTCACCCTGATCTGAAACAATAGTGTAATATCACAACATATAAAGACACACTATAAAATATCAATTGAAATGGCTTAACTCAATCAAAAGACATATTAACACAAGTGAACATACACTGAACGAATAAATTTGATCTGTGATAAAAGTAACAGTATTATAAAAAAAAAAGAAGTAAAATCACAAAAATACTGAACTCCGAGGAAAATTCAATCGGAAAGTCCCTAATCACATGGCAAAATCAAATGACAAAACACATCAAACGAATGGACAACAACTGTCATATTCCTGACTTGGTACAGGCATTTTCAAATGTAGAAAATGGTGGATTGAACCTGGTTTTATAGCGCTAAACCTCTCACTTGTACGACAGTCGCATCAATTTCAATTATATTGACAATGATACGTGAACAAAATGTCACAAATAGGGGTACAAAAACAACACGGACTCCACCAAAAACTAGGACTGATTTCATGTGCTTCGGAAGGGGAAGCAGATCCTGTTCCACATGTGGCACCCTTCGTGTTGCTCATGTTGTTACAAAGCCGGTAAATAGTCGAATTCGGTAGGTCACATTCGTGAAAAGGGAAGGAAATTGTAGTTGTGAAATGTTAAACAATTTCAGAAAAAACAAAAATAACCTTAAACAAAAATCCGCCATTTACAATAATATTATACACAGGTAAATGAAAATAATTTTGTTGTAAGGTATACAGTTTAAAAGGAGAAAGGAAAACTTTTTAAAAATAAATAATTTGATGTTCCTAGTTCGAAGGAGTGAAAATTTATAGTAATACCAAACACTTATCAAAGCTGGTATATAGACCAGATATAACCCTGAATAAGTAAACATTAACAAAAAAGCATTACAAATAGTATCAACAGGTCAAATTAACAAGAAAGTACGATTTGAGAGTACTCGCAGTTACTGACAGCTAGTTAAAAGCCGAAAACAATTAATAATAAAAAATCATGCATCACAGACCTTTTTTCTTAATGGAAAGAGTAAAAATCTATGAAAAATATCTTTCATATAGCTAGGAACAAGCTACTCGATATATAGTATTATGTTTTGATGCCATATGTGATGCTAATTTTTTTCAGGTACCCCCTTGAACAAACGTTTGGAAACTCAAGCTAATAATTTGTACAATGGGAAATCTAGTGAACGAAAACAAAAGAAAATTCTCTCTTCTTGTGACAGAGTCGAAAAAATCAATAATAAAACAATGCCGGTGACGATACTGATTGAAAATTTATTTCTAAAAAATTATTGTACATTTTAAAGAAATTATTTGTTCAACTGTGTTATTAGAAATATACATGCAAATACACGATTTTTTATGTTCAGTATTTATCGAGATAATTACATCAGAAGCTTGTGATTCTGAAATCTGAAAAAGTGTAAACTTTGCTTTATATTGATAAAAAAAATTGGAAAAAATCATGTACATACATAATCTAAAATCTTTCGGGTCACCAATTTTCGGAGTGTTTCACAAAGTCCTTAGCTTGTTACAACTTTCCAAAATATACTTATTTTTCACATCTAACTTTTCTGCTCTTGTCACATGAACATTTTGTATAGAAATATTGTCTTTTCGTGAATATAACAATTTAAAAGTCTGTCTATGCTGGTTACAAAATTAAAGATAACTATTCTTATAAAGTGGATATCTTTTTACTAATTTTTTACAATTTTAATAAAAGGTCGTTTCGATTTTTGTATATGTATTTGCGGTCTTCTCGATTTTTTCACATTCAATACTTACATCGGGATAAGGTCCGTTTGAATTAACTTAGTAACTTAATTTCAAAAGTGTTAATCTTTGCTGCATATCAATCGATTCCGTTGGAATTTTTTCCCTGACTTTTTCTGATGTAGCTGCATATATATATACGGATAATTAGCATGTTTCAGATAGGTATACAGCAAGTAGAAACATTAATTGAATATGGTAATCCTGGAATTTATTCGCATAGCCACATTTTAAACCAATTATACATCAAGCTCCCATAGCCTGCTGTACTCGTCGTTTGCTATTTAAGAAGGCAAATGATAACATTAAATGGAAGTTTTGTTTTTATTTCAACTTATCTCTAATTTTACTATTTTCAACGTTTTCCCGTGAATTTATTTTTGATGGCGTCTTTGCTAAAACGGGACAAATGTTGAAAAGATCTAGTTTTCAGTGTTTACAAGGGAGGTAATATTTTGTCACTAGATTTCCCACTGTTGTATAAGACGTGTTTATTTTGAGTTATTTCCCTTTGAACAGAAATGGTGTAGTCGACGCATCTGGTTCCCCAGTTTTTTGTTTGTTACCTTGATTTGTCTCAACATCGGTAAACTACTGTTGCCTCAATCTAAGAGCACTGAAAGCTCTTTTCCTCAAATACCATCGGCATTAAACTTTTCAGATTCTACATACAGTAAAGTAAAAAATAAAAAGTGTAACTTCAATTTAGAATGGTATGACATTTACTTATGATCGTCTTGTACTTATAATAAGGCATATTGGATTTTAAATAGCTGAACTATTAACAAGACTAACATTGATAACCGATAAACACATCAACCAAATGAAAACTGAAACACTAAGAAACCTTTCCATGTATGGCGATGGGAACAGATTTAAAAGCAAAATAATGTTACCATCTCTTTCCTGTTATAAATAACCTTTTTTAACTAATTGATTAATTGTTTTCTTCGTGACCTTAATAAATCTTTTATTCAACAGATCACTACTTTGGTACGGATATGATTTATAAAAACAAACCTTTTCTTAAATTGTCTGTTTATAATTTAGAAGTTAAAAGGAAACTACGATGAAAAATCCATCAGGTAAATTTGAATTTAAATCGTTTGGCTATTATTCTAAGGGTATTTTGGGTCATATTAATCTTCAACTGTTTCGGCTCATATTTTCTCGAGTCTCGTTTTACATACTACAATATATTGTGATATATTAGTCAATCATAAACACCTATATATGAGGGACTCCGAAATCGGAAAAATTCAAGGGTTTTTGAGGCGCGTTCATCCGCTTTTTATAAATATCCGCTACTATGAGATGCACTCTTCAAAGTAAATTGATGAAAGTCTTTCTTATAATTCCCTGTTACGATAAGGACAATTTATATTTACTTTCATCTAGTGTGTTGATTGCCGCTCCATTAACAACATCTAGAAAGAAATCAGGTGGGTTGTTGTGCTCTTCTATAATAAATCCTGCAAATTTTAAGGAATGTGTGTTTTAAAATCAGAACATATTGTAAAATTTGATTACATGTGTTATCTGTATAGACAATACTAGTAAGTGATATTATATTCGTTTACTTGACATTTACTTATTGTGAAATGAGAATATTATCAAAATAACTTCGACTGTCACTTTATAATATGCACTTGGTTTCGTTTTAATTAAAGGGGCATTAGCTGTCAAATTCATCTTTACCAATCTGACTCAAATTTTTTTATTTGACTTATAACATACTAAAACGCATATTCAAATTATAAAAAGTCTAAAAAATACAATTTACGATGCATAGACTCGATAGTATATGTCAGTATTTCGTGTGTGTTTTAGTTTAGATGCCATCTAAATAACCATCAAGGTGACCTCCGAAGACTGCCGACGGTCATATAACCCGATACAAACATACACATAGATATAAATAGATTGCAAACTCGTGCAATTGGATTTTTCTAGGTCTGTTTGATTTCATATTATAGGTTTAAAAATATGTTAATAATCGTTTTTACCTGTATGAGAATGAGTTTTTGTAGATCGAAACAGGCAGTGTCAACCAAATGGTTTACCCTTGTTTCACTTTCAATGTTTACATTCTTTTCCATTTAATAACTGAACACGCTTAGTTCAATATAACCCATCTCTAGCAATAGGGATCAATTAAAGTTCACATGAATACGGATTCAATGAGGTCAAATTATTCACTTGCAAGTGAATAATTCATTAGCGATCTTTCTTTTCTTAATTTGACAAAACTGAACCAATCTGGCTGTTACAAGCGAATATTATTTCACTATTTCACTTTAATTAATGATTGAACAAAAAAAATAATATTTCATTTTTTTTTATATCTCGTAGCTAATGGCCCTTTAACATATGGCTACACACTGGTCAATATTACAATTGCTGCAGGATAAATACAAGTCACATTAAGAATGACAAAAATAAACCCAAATAAATACAATTGGCAAGTGAACATTTCAGGAATGGAAAATTATTTTGCGATTAGTTTGTATTGTACTGATAAAAAATGTGGCGTTTTTTTCTGAAAACGGAAAAAAAAAATTGCCCTTTTAAGAGCTGCAGTCAATTGCCAAATTTCCCCGTAAACATTTGTTGTTCTAGTTACTGTTATTTATTTAAGGTTGACATTATTAACAGTCATCACTGTGACTAAAAACTCGGAAAATTCTGGTAAAAAAATAAACAAAGCACGGGTATGAATTTGATATGCTTTACAAAATCGAAATACTGTTAACTACACACCTATAGATCTGAAATAGTCCAAAGATTCATGAGCAGCTCCATGGTAGACACATTCACCAAAGGATAACAACATTAAACTGTCAAATAATTTGAAAATTGAGAATCGTGGCTGATGAATTGAAAATACAACTGTTGTCCCATTTTTGGATAAACTAAAAAGAAAAAGAAAAAGAAGCACTACAGAGATATCGCTACGTGATTGTGAGTTTGATATGTCTCGGTATATCTACCGTTTTTGTCTATTTATTTCAGTTGATACTAAAACAATTTGTCTATTTTTAAGTACTAGTAGTAGTTACTTTATACACCTTATCGCTATTGGTTCAACCCGAGAAAAAAAACAGTCACTTAGAAAACTTTGTGTTTGGTCAAGTATCACAAAAAACAAAGTTCATTAGTAATGAAATGAGGGAGGGAAAAGTTCAGAAAGGAACCATTTTCAAATTTTGATAAATTGTGATCATATTTGTTGAAACACAAATTAAAGTAATAAAAATGACGTCATGAAAAAGTTGTGTAATTTAGCTTGATAGGAATGAATAGTGATAAGGTGTATTCACGTGAATGTATTGTTGAATTGTGAACTTTCCATTGTTATGTAGCAACATTCCAGCAGCGCCTGCATACGGAGTATATATTTCCCAGTTGATACGATATTCCAGGGGTTGTATTTACTATTATGATTTCCTTGAAAGAGGGTTGCTGATCACAAGAAAGCTATTAAACCAAGAGGTCAAAGTGGCGAATTTGTTACTTAGTCATGCGAGCTACATACAAAATTTGTTTTTACTTGTATTTATACCTTTTTAACAACTGCATAACTGAATGAGCTGTGTTCGCATCAAGACCGGTTGTTGGTTCGTCCAAAAAAAGGACAGGAGGTGAAATAATCAGTTCCATACCAATGTTTGTTCGTTGTCTTTCCCCGCCAGAAATTCCTCGAAAAAAATCGTTTCCAACCTAGAGAAACAGAAAATGAAGTAGTAGTATCTAAATGTTCTTATAAAAAATATATATATGGTTTCAGTACAACCGATTAAAAACGGAACTAGCAATATAATAGAAATGAGTCACATACATAGTAATCTTAGTGGATGTGATTAAATTAATTATATTTATTTTATTTATTGAAATTATATAAATGTTTGCAGAGCTTTGCAATGAAATTTAGTTTTTTTTTTAGAAAATTTGTTACACTGCGTCGAAATTGTTTCATTGTTAACGGCCTTTAAATGACTTCTAGATTTTTGTTAATTTACTTTTACTTGATATGTAGCCAACATCTGCGTTTGTTCATATTTACCATCGTATCAACACATTTTGTCAGCCCAAGTTCGCTTACAACATTTTCTATCTTTTCTTGTATATCAGCCTTTGAGTTTTGACCGCGTAATCTAAGAGCCGCTGAAAATGCCAAGTTTTCTCGCACAGTCAATCCACTTATCACAACATCATCCTATTAAAATAACAGTATAGAATTGCATCCTTAAAATGGTGATATATGTATTCAATTGCTACCATTTTCTTTTTCTGCTTTCTTTTAATATGTTGTTGTCTTAAGGATGATTTCTAGAATTAAACTTCTTTTCTTAACCTTATTTGTGGGCTTATATGACTGTAAGAAAGTAATTGACGAAGAAAAAATCATATGGTGGTGCACTTCTTTTTTTACTACGGCCATTTGAAAGTACCAAATTTTGATGATTTTCCCATTTTTCATAAATTTTTACCCATTTTTGGGCTATTATCATAAAAAAAATCACAGTTTCACAATTGAACTTTTTTTCATACTTACACTAAAGACGAAGTGGACCAATCTGAATAAATTCAACTTAAAAAAACTATAGGTAGGTGTTAATATTGAAAAGTTTTATAAAATTTTGTTGCTTTTTCGTGTCAAATTGACCATGCTGTCAATTTTGTAAATTTGGGATTTTTCTCTTTTTTTAGAACAAAAAGCATATTATTTCAACTTCAAAGTTACAAATGATTGAAAAAATACATATCAAAGAAACTTGAAAAGAAAAAAATTGATATGGGATGTATTTTTGTTTTTTTGTTTTTTGTTTTTTTTTTGTGAGTAATGTCTTTTATTTTAAATCACCTGGAATACATAAATCCTAAGCACTCCAGGGCAGCTGACAGAGGGGTTCCTGCTTTCATTTAACATATCCCATTTGCCAGGGAAAATACAAATGGGTTAAGAAAAAAAGAAAAACTTTATATAATATATTCAATATATATATAAAAAAACAGCATCTGTTTATAATTAGATACTGTATTCTTCCCATGATTCTTTACACTTCAAAATCTTGCATTTTCATATAATTTTATCCTTTTAAGATACAATTATAAAATTATATATAACAGTTATTTATATTGCTTTCTTTCTAACCATTTGCACTGTTTAAAGTTCAATCCGAGCTCGTGTAAATAAGAGACAAGCAATTATGAAATCTTTTGTTATTTAAATTGTGTTCCCGGTTTTAAAAATGCCTGTTAGATATTTACATAGCCAAAACATGTGCTTAAATCATCAGAATTTCCGATGAAGGATTATTGAGAAATAAATGTATGTTCACTTATGAATAAACACAGTCTGTGGTGAGTAAAATACTAGTACAAAAAAGTAATACAATTATACAGTATGTAATATAAATATGCATTAAATATAAAGTATAAAATTAACTTATATAAATAATGGCGGCTGTTTGTAAATGAAGGTGTAAACCATATACTAGTTCAAAGTGTGCATTTTTGTATTCAAATGATAAATATAGCTATAATACCGGGGCACATGTTCTTTCATAATTATATATGTAATTCTGCATAATGAGCAAAGAATAAACAAGATGTCAAATTCGACTAGTAATAGTGATTACAATATTTGAGATAAATGATATGGGATTTACATATTTTTGGTAAAATCATTTCTTGTATCCGTCACCCATTTTCTCAACATTTTGGCTGATGACAGTGATTGGATTGGTTATAAAATTTGAAAATTTTATTACACAAAAAAAAGTTATTGTAAATCCACAATTTTTTCATAGAGTTCAGTTTGATTATAATTTTTTTTTAAATTCATTGATATTTTCCACTTATATCACATGTTTTGGAAATAATTCCAGAACTTGATTTCAACGAGACTGAAACGTCAGAAGAATACATCCTTAAATATTTCTTCTTCTTCTGCTATATAGTAGTTGAACTCATTTGATGAGTACTCAAAACGTTTTGGTGTCATGAGTATATAAACACTTACCTTTCGATATTGTCTCAATGAATATCAAAAGCAGAGAAGAAAAATGTCGACAAAACCATGAAAAAAATCAAATAAAATGTCTCTGCGACCAATTGATCTTTTGAATTTATTCCAAAGTCTGTTGCATCTTTAACCCTGTAGACATGCACAATTCGTGCCAATTGAAATACCGACTGCCACCAAACTCAACAAATATATTATCAAAAAGTCCAGCAATTTGATAATTTTGACTGCAAATGTTAGTTTTATTCCGTTTAATTTCTTTTTTTTAAATTCTTTTATTTTGTTTGATAATATTTGGATTCTTAACAGCAAAAACATAAGGAAGGTATTTGCTTTAAATATAAACTTATCTGGTCTCTAAGAAATATCTGGCTACTGGGCTACCAAAATAACACCAACCTAGTGTAAACATAACAAAATCACGATATCAAGTATCGATGGATTTCAATGACTTCAAAGAAATGACACTAAAGGCACCAGAGGCAATATGAGAGCTAACGAAATATTCTGAAAAAAACCCTAAACTTTAGTTAAATACTGTTACTTAAATTCAATGGAAACTTAACTATTGTAATGTTGAAGAAATATGTACCTGCAAAACATATCCAACCATACATTTAAAATTTTCTGGATGTGGTGATCCATTTAATAGTAGGTCTCCACTTACTCTCAATGGTGCTTTCCGTCCTGCCAATATATCTAAAAGCCTACGTTATAAAAAAAAGATATGTCACTTATTATCTTAAGTTAACTGATAACTTAAATTTAAGGAAGTTCGTCGTATAATCAAATATTTCTGTGAGTACATCTGTCTGCGTACATTCAAATAAAAAACAACATTACATTTCATGTCTGTTCATCTAATTGGTCATGTGTTTGAGTAGGATAATACACATGTGTCAATGGTATGAATTTCTCAGGGTTCAATTCGCCGTTTCAGAATCTAATGCATTCTAGGTATTATTTTCAAAAGCGTACACCAAAACGTTTTGATTGGCTAAAAACGTTCTAAACAATGGAAATTCAACTAGTAACATTACAATATTTTCATTGTGGGGTACGAACAATGTAATTACCCACCATCCTTTAGAATCTGAAACGGAGAATTATTTAATAACTTATGGTAAGACCAGAACCCATCGCTATAGTATGAAGCATAAATTTAAGCAACGGTTATTTATCGAAATTCAAATCTCATAAATCATTTGAGGAGGTACAAATAAATGTAACACACAAAATGTGAAGACATTGCATGAACTACAAACGGAACGAGACCACATGCATCACCAGCCTTAGAATACACACTCGGTAAAATAATTCAAGATGGTGACGTAAAATTCATGAAGGTTCGGTTTCACTTTTATTATCTCAGTTGTTTGTAAAGAATACATCCTGTTAATTAACCGGCCGTATAATGTTAACATGCACGACAGCAACATAGCAGTTGTGAAATGTAAACGCCAAACCATCGGACTGAGGGTATGTTACTGCTGTGAAATGGGAGATTCCAAAAGATAGTCGGTATTCCAATAGGTACTTATTGTCCAAACTTACTGGCCGACTGGTCTTTGTACTCATATGTAGAAGAATTCATATCGAATCTTCTTAAGAACAAAATTAAAAATTATCTGTCAATGTTCTTATACACTGAGCTTAATTGTCAGATATATTGATGATGTCCTGTTAATCAATAACCTACATTTCAGTGAGTCATTACATCTTATATATAAGTAAACTTAGTACAGAAACTTGAAGTTCTCAAATATCTTGATTTTTTTCCTCGATTATGACATAGATGGACGAATTCACACAAAAATCTATAGCAAGCGTGATGATTTCAACTTTCCGATTGTCAAACGCCAATTTCTTAGAAGTTAAATACCTCTGCTCGCTCATATGACGTTTACATATTTCAATTAATATGTTTCGCTCGTGCAAGTTCACACTATAAAGACGTCATTAACAGGGAAGTGCTTCATGAAAAACGACTGAAATCAGCACTACATAAGTTTAACGACCACCATTATGAATTGGTTGACACATATAATGTGTCTGTTTCTCAATTCAATAGAACATATTTTCGCGGTCTTAGATCACAACATTTCAGTATAGTCCTATGATTTTTAATTTTACCGACTGTGTCCTATTCGTTTTTCCCGATTTTTACATTTTGACTATGAGTGAAGTCGTATCATTACAAACTAGTAAAAGTCTGAAATGGCCTATTTCTTTACTCGACTATACTGATTTTTACTCGACCAGTCTGAATTGGTCAGAAATTTGCTTGATATAACTCGACTGTAGTCTGAACCATACTTAACAGTTTGAACTTGTACTCGACTTTTACTCGACCTGTACTTAACCAGTTTGTTCTTGTCTTAACCATACTCGACGTAGTCTTAACTATTTTCGACCTAGTCTGAACCATACTCGACCTAGTCTGAACCATACTCGACCAATTCTTAACCAACCTAGACCTATTTTTTGTATCCATCTATTGTATGTCATCAATTTAGGAACTGTTTTTAACAATACCTATTTCCCCTGGCTAGAAATTTGAAAAACAATTTGAAATTCAAAATGTATTTAATATAGCATTGAAACCAAAATTTCACAATAAACTTGATAATCATCAACACTTATACATATATATTTATATATACAATGTATATCAACTTTAAAATAAAAATAAAACAAGATGATCAAGGTAGTAATTTCTGGTCGGATTAAAAAGATATCGTGTAATAAATTAAGTTTTCGGTTAAACGAATTTTTATATACATGATATCATATTCACATTGCATTATGTACAACAAAAATACTAGATCTTTCGTCCATTATTCAAATATCTTAAATGTTATTAAAAATGTTTTGAATGTTTCAGATATATTTTATGGTTACTGGAAAATTTTCAACACTAACTTAAACCTGGTATAGATTTATGGTGTCAGTAGAGTTAAGTTAATAATGCAGTGAACATTTTTTTTTATTAAAATATATATAAAATAGTATATAAAGCAACTTAATAAATCTTAAAAATGACACCTTTGAAAAATCAAGAATTAAATATAATTGAACTTCCTTAGCAATCCTTGATAACCTTTTAAAAAAGGAGTTGTGTTCCAAAGTTGCAGTTAAAATTTAGGTTGATTAATTAAGTTTTGTCAAAATTAAAGACATGGCATACAAGAAGAACTTTAATAAGGTTTAAGTACCTCAGTACAGGTGTGTTTTATAGGTAAAAAGAAAACCCTATTTTTTCTTAAACTCATGTATTACTTATCTAGTGAATTCAAAAGGCCTTATGATTTTAGTTTTACAGGATGTTGTTTAATTTTCAATAGATGTTATTTAAAATTTATTACTCTCTGACCAGTTGTGATCTTTTTAATGAGTGTGCCCCAAGCAGGAGATATTACTTTATAGTTTGCCCCTAATCAGAAGAACAATTTTAATCATTTCTTGAATTTTTTTTTTATCCCTTTTGGATATATATACCTTTGCACCTTTTGTTTGCGGTATACCATCTTTTCCGCAAGTTTATAGTTTTCTGTTTAGTATTAAATTTATAATTAAGATCCATTTATTACATCGGTGATCCGTTTATTTGGCAATCGCCAATGGCAGTCAGCAGGGCTTAAGAACATTTGTTGTTCCACCTGTTAGTCAAATGCGTTTTGTTAAAATATACTTTTTCACTTTTTTGGTCTTTTGGAAAATGTTGTTTGTGCTGTATTTAGACCCCTCTAACAAGAAATTTGTTTTGCATGCACACCTATAAAAATTGCGGTTTTTATCCAACGCAATCATAGGTTTGAACGTTGTTTTCAATTTGCACTTGTTTATATTTTTTTGTTTGGGCTTGTTTTATATTTGCCTTCGGGTTTATATGATCCGTTCATCCTATTTTGACTCCTCAAAATTCAAGAGTCTATCCTAAATTGAGGTAAAGTGTATGGCTTTCCAAATACCGTTTCGATTCCAAATATCATTGAAGAGACATTAATTGTCGAAATCTGGATATGGTGAACAAAAACCTTTTGTTTGCGGTATATCATCTTTTCCGCAAGTTTATTGTTTTCTGTTTAGTATTAAATTTATAATTGAAATCCATTTATTACATCGGTGATCCGTTTATTTGGCAATAGCCAATGGCAGTCAGCAGGGTTTAAGAACATTTGTTGTTCGACCTTTTAGTCAAATACGTTTTGTTAAAATATACTTTTTCACTTTTTGGTCTTTGAGAAAATATTGTTTATGCTGTATTTAGACCCCTCTAACAAGAAATTTGTTTTGCATGCACACCTATAAAAATTGCGGTTTTTATCCAACGCAATCATAGGTTTGAACGTTGTTTTCAATTTGCACTTGTTTATATTTTTTTGTTTGGGCTTGTTTTATATTTTCACTTTTTCACTTTTTGGTCTTTTGGAAAATATTGTTTATGCTGTATTTAGACCCCTCTAACAAGAAATTTGTTTTGCATGTACACGTATAAAAATTGCGGTTTTTATCCAACGCAATCATAGGTTTGAACGTTGTTTTCAATTTAGACTTGTTTATATATATATATATATATATATATATATATATAAAGAAAAGTCAAATAGAATCCGTATGCTGGTAACATATAAGAAAAATAATATAAGATAATGACGGTTTCAATTCATCACTTTTACTAGAGCTTTCACTGCTTTCACAGATCTTCAGGTAATCTTCACATTACCTGAAGATCTGTGAAATCAGTGAAAGCGCTAGTAAAAGTGATGAATTGAAACCGTCATTATCTTATATTATTTTTCTTATATATATATATATATATATATATATATCCCAAATCATAATGAGAATAGACATATTTCTGATATCAGGTTAAACAATTTCAGTGATTTTTTTTTGGCTGTTGTTACCTCAGTTAAAAAGATAGTTAAATAACTATTGTATGTAACCATGAAACCTATGTAGTATTTATTTAAGAATTTAGGAAAATTAAGTTTTGTTTTAAAAAAAACACATGCCAAACAAGAAGCACCTTAAAAAGGTGTTATTGCCTTCTGTACAGGTGTGGTTTTCATGTAACAAGACTCAGACTTTTAAAATAAGATAATTTAACTATATCGATTTGATAAATCTGATAATCATGTAAGGATGTAAAAATCTGTTTTTATATATATAAAAAAGAAGATGTGGTATGATTGCCAATGAGACAACTCTCCACAAGAGACCAAATGACACAGAAATTAACAACTATAGGTCACCGTACGGCCTTCAACAATGAGCAAAGCCCATACCGCACAGTCAGCTATAAAAGGCCCCGAAATGACAATGTAAAACAATTCAAACGAGAAAACTAACGGCCTAATTTATGTACAAAAAATGAACGAAAAACAAATATATAACACATAAACAAACGACAACCACTGAATTACAGGCTCCTGACTTGGGACAGGCACATACATACAGAATGTGGCAGGGTTAAACATGTTAGCGGGATCCCAACCCTCCCCCTAACCTGGGACAGTGGTGTAACAGTACAACATAAGAACGAACTGTAAAAATCAGTTGAAAGAGGCTTAACTCATCAGATGGATAAAAATACAAATAATACAAATACAAGTGGACGTGGTCGGGTACTTGTACATACAAACAACAAAAAGACACTAAGTACAGATCTGAGAGTACTCGCAGTTACTGACAGCTAGTTCAAAGCCACTTACAACTAATAAAAAAATTCATGCATCTAAGACTAAACTATCAATCTGTACACATCCAACATCCAATGGATTTAGTGTAAAGACGTCATAAACAGTCAGAGAAAAACATGACCTTGTGCAATGCCAAGATACAGGTATCGACAGATTGTAGATCCATGAATGTGTATATGTATATAACAATAATATTTAGTTTGCTTTTAATTTACTGATAACAAAATCAATATTAGTACCAATAAAAACCATATTTAATGATCTAATTACAGTGTTGAATTGGTAACCTTTTAAAATGAGTTTATTTAAAGGATCGATAAGTTTACCAGGATCGTTTCTAAATTTTCGGGCACGGTAAACAATATGGCCGTAAAAATGAGGATGTGCAATCCCGTTTGTAATAAGTTTTCTACAAGTACAACCAAAATTCAAAACCAAATCTTTATATCTGTGGAAGAATTTAGTAAAGGTTTTAAGTAATTTGTGATAACGAAATCCCTGGCTTAATAATTTACCAGTAATACATAGATTATCTTTATTTTATTGTGGCTGTTGTCATGTCAGTTAAAAAGAAAGTAATTTAAACAGTTAAAATTAAAAAAAATAAGTAAGAGGTTATTTGGTCAAGTATGGTTCAGACTGGTCGGGTATTGTTCAGACTTTGGTCGAGTATGGTTCAGACTGAAAAAATAGGTCGAGAAGTATTGGTCGATTACAGGTCGAGAATGGGTTAAGACTGTCTCAGACTGGTCGCGTAATAGATCAGACTATTTTCAATGGCAAAGATAAGGGTCAAGTACAAATCAGTATAGTCGAGTATGGTTAAATAAAGGCAACAGTAGTATACCGCTGTTCGAAACTCATAAATCGATAGAGATAAAAACAAATCCGGGTTACAAACTAAAACTGAGGGAAACGCATCAAATATAAGAGGAGAACAACGACACAACAAAAACACAACATTAAAATGTAACACACACAGAAACGAACTATAATATAACAATGGCCATTTTCCTGACTTGGTACAGGACATTTTAAGAACAAAATGGTGGGTTGAACCTGGTTTTGTGGCATGCCAAACCTCCCGCTTTTATGGCAACGTCAAACACAACACCAAAACGACAACATCACATGACAGGACTACAATACAAATAAATGGGAGAACATATAGGACAAAGAAACACACGAATAATAGCTAGCAGAAGGTACTAGGCTTAAACTTCAATACGCCAGACGTGCTTCTCGTCCACACAAGACTAACCAGTGACGCTCAGATAAAAAAAGTTTGAAAGCCAAAACAAGTACAAGTTAAGATTGGGGTCGAGTAATATCTAGTAAAATTCAGACCAATTCAGACTGGTCGAGTAAAAATCAGTAGAGTCAAGTACAGAAATAGGCCATTTCAGACTTTTACTGGTTTATAGTGTATGGCGTATGATGTATTCATATCAGGTCGATTACCATGTTGATGCACCTGTTCTCGGTCATAGCACTCAATATTCGGAGTACTAAATCTATGCCCAAAACACTAAATCCAGTATTTTGATAGGTTGAATTCTGCGTGCTCGCAGTTTTTATGACCGCAAGGTATGACCATATCTCGCTCGATTTAGAGTTTTGAGATTTGAGTTAATGAGATTTAAACATCGATAAACTACTTTTGGTTAAATTCAGACAGGAGCTTCACAGGAAGAGTGAAAAGAAGTTAGCACTTCCCTCAAACTTCACGTTACGATATAGAGAAGTTTGGTGACTATGTTAAACGCGTCTATACGTCTATAATAGAGGATACCAAAGATACAGTGTGCTTCAAATATAGACTTACATCTAGAAATTGACGACGAGGATTCGTCTTACTTACGACAACAGATTGATTTCATTTTTTGAATTGTGAACTTTCCATTTTTATGCAGCCACATTCCAGAAGCGCATGCAGATGGAGTTTATATCACCTCTGTCCTCTGGTATATTTCCCTTTTTTTCTTTTCTTGCCCAGATATTTCAAACTAAATAATAAAGAGTTGGGATAACAAACTACACTCAACATACTGATTATTTAATAAGGGTGTTTTAGAAGAAATATTTATAGAGAGAGAATCAACTGAAAAATCAGGTAACACAATTTAGTATTATATCATAAAGGGTAAAAGCGCTTTTTGTCAGATGTTAAATCCTTCTTTCAAAGTACTTACGAAGATTTTCCACTGCCAGTTGGTTCCAATATAGCATTCATACCAGCTTGAAAACTCCACTAAAAAACAACAAACTGTCTTTCTATACACCAGTAGATAAGAAACAACAAACTGTCTTCCTATATACTAGTAGAATGTAAAAAAACAAAAATACCGAACTTAAAGGAAAACTCAAAAGGGAAAGTCCCTTATCAAATGGCAAAATCAAAAGCTCAAACACATCAAACGAATGGAAAACAACTGTCATATTCCTGAAATAAGAATTTTTATATTATGTGTTAAATACAACATGTTAGGTTTTCTTAAAAAAAGGTTTCATCAAACTTGACGAATTTTAAGAAATTATTTTTTTTCTTTTGCAAATACATATGTCATTAGATAAAGTTGTGAGATATTTAAGTGTTCATCTTCATAACTACGAGATTAAACAAGACATTATGAGTCACTATAAATTCTAAACTTCATAAAGACCCAACGAAACAATGTTTTCAACAGTATCTGCTTTCGCTTTCAATTTATTGTGATTAGAGTTATTGTTTCATTGACATCAAACATCTGTTTTATTTATAATGATTTTTAATATTATTTAGCGTGTAATCTTTTATTATGAGTATGTTCCATATGGGCCCTATTTGACCCCGAATATTAAGTCTATTGTTTCAAGATGAAAATTATATCAAGTTGAAGAAAAGACATGTGAAAAAGTGAACTAGAACTTTTTTTAATTTGAGTTTTGACATTTACACCTCAAATAGACAAAACATTATCCTTTTGGTAAAGTTGACAATTTTTCTTGATTTGAACCACATTTCATTCTAGGAAACATAGAGCGCAGAGGTTGATACACTAACTATTCAAGTCCGATATCAGTTTTCATATAACAAACAAAATGTTTGATTATAAAATACTATAAAAAAGATTATTCAATATAATTTTTCGTAAAATTATTACTCTAAGTCTTTTGAAATATTGAGAAGGTCTGTGACGTTGTTTATAATCATTATACAACAGGAAGAAACGCCTTGCATTGGTATTTAGGCATTATATTGAAATATTCCAAAAAAAACCAAAAGATATCGATCAAGGTGAACATTTAGATTTACTTTTATTCTTATAAACTTGAATACATTATATAGTAAAGGCAAAACTTACTCAATTCCTTTCAGTATTTCCTTTGTTTTTCTGTTCCTTGGACATATTTTGGTTTTGACATCCACTCTATATCTGATATCATGACATGAAATAGTTGTTGACTGTTTTTGTTCAAATGCTTTCACATGGATCTTGACGCTAGCAGTATTGCAGTCGTTGATAACAATTGGGGTAACCACACTAGTCTTCGTCTTCATCTTAGATTAAGTTATTCTAACTTAACACATTTATGATAATTTTTCGTGGACGTGTTTTCTAAATAAAAAAGCATATCATACAACCAGCTTCTTGATACTGAATTCAATGTGTTTTGCGTTCAGACACTTTAGTGGTAAATTATATATCCAGTTACGTAAGACATCATGTGACTTCGATGACGTGGCAATCGACCATCTTTTAAATTTGTCTAATTGAAATTGAATAAGCCCTTTAATTAACGTTATTTTTTTCGTTAATCGGACCCCTTTTCTTACTTTTGCTGTTCTTTCCTTTGTCTTCGAATATAATTTAAATTCTTTCTTCAAACGTACGACACTCGACCAGCTGTGATCAGCAGTGGATTTTTTTTTCACGACCATTTCGTTGATAGGGAAGATATCTTTAAAAAATGATAGAAATTAGCTCTTTATCGGTTAATTAATATGTGATTGACAGATATTTTTATTTAAAGGCTTACAATCTTTAACGAGAATCTCAATTTACAACTACATGTTACATGATGTCCTGGACATTCAATATGTTTTACTGGCAAAATAATGACAAGTGGTGATATAAATTAAATTCCCAGTCATGTGAAATTCATCAGGTAAACTGGGAGTCATATTTTTCTGGACATTTAAAAATAAATTGAGGCAGATGCACATGAATTTAATGCATCATAATATTACTAGGCTACTCCCTCATGTCCCAAGCAACTAATTTTATTTAAACTTAAATTCAAGTTGACAGTACAAATGGTATCAATGAATAAATAACAACTATATTGTCTAAACCTTTTTATTAAGAACTTTCTATATATACATTTTGTACAATAACATGAAAAAACTGCAAGTATATTTTTATTGCATATAAAACAATTTCCTTAGTGATAAGCACGAGAACACTATGCAACCGAAACGGTAATTGAATCTTACTTCTCCAAGAAATTGACCACTTCTCCCTTCTTTCTCATGGAAGGAAAAGTCACTTCTCCCTCTCCAAAATTCTAGATTAGGCCCTGTAATTCTTTCTTAAAATGTCGACCCTGACATAAATTACGTCCCAGGTCAATTGTAAATATCGCTCATTTTATCGTCGTCGGCCCCGTCGGTTCTATTGTAAAAATAACAAATCTACGTCTTCTTATACATTAATGAATTGCCATATAACGTTTCATACTATTCCTTATAAGCTATCATCTTTTCTTTTTTTTTTTGTAACAATTAACGAAAACTTTATTGCACAACTGATGTTTTACATTTTACCCAGAGTTCAGCGTTAGTCTGGATAGCCCTGTAATAAATTACTGAACTTCCAGGGAATAAAAGTTCAGCAAACAAATACAAAATGTTAATTTTACAATGTATTACATCATTTCATTCATAAACATTGTTTTAAATATATTTCAAAATCGGTGTCACATGTTTACGGAACAAATTCATTCTACTGACCGGGTTTGACTTTTGTTTTCTTGTATTGATTTTTAATCATTGACCTCTTGACCCCCAAAAAATTTGGAACATATGAAACCGTAGGGAAACTACATGGTTTTTGTTAACTACCATTGAACATTTATGATTAACTTTAATTTGTTTTCTCTTTCGTCATGATAAGTATGATATATTATATCTAATCTAAATCATTTTAGTAAACATGTGATTAAATGTGTACACAATACTAAGTTGGACAGGAAAATTCAGATCAACAACTGATCGTAAAAACTGCAACAGGTACACCAAATCACGCTATGCTATTATTGCACAATACTTTTTTTTCAAGCGTATATTAGAAATTAAATATTATCTATGTTTATAATTTGTTATCACTTTATAATTGTAAACATATAAAGGATTTGTCCATGAGAAGTGCATTTACACACAATTTTACCTTTGAATGCTTGCATTTTTTAAAAGAATTTATGTTTGATCGATCCAGGAAAACTTTAAACTTAACAGATTTACAGATTTCATTGTAGATTTTTCAAAAGGTGATTTACGATTTTCTTTCTTTTTTTTTAATAAAAAGTACATGTACTTGTATTCCTTTTTAAATAGCTCATAAAAATCTATTGGTCTTGTTTTATTATTTGATATACAATTACTTTTATGCAAAGTGAATAGAATATTGTTAATATATAATTTATATCATTAAATAGCCAAAAGTTTGTTATCAATATGAAACTTTTGTAACATCTTTTCCAAGAAATAACCACACTCTATGTGATTATGAAGGTAAGTATGCCCAGTGCACGATGTTTTATCGATATTGTCAACATCGCGATGTCTACTGTATTGTATCATTATTGTGTTTACATCGCGATGTTGACCACATTGTGTTCATATTGTATGCTTAGTCTATACCATTTTCGTTTATATCGTTTACCTCGTAGACATCGCGATGTTGACAATAGCGAGTCAACATCGTGTTTATATTGTATAAGCCTATACCTTTGTTTTTATATCGTTCACATCGTACACATTGCGATGATGACAATAGCGAGTCTACATCGTGTTTATACAGTAATAAACCAAGTCTATACCTTTGTGTTTACTTCGTTCACAACGTTAGACATCGCGATGTTGACAATAGCGAGTCAACATCGTGTTAATATTGTATACCAAGTCTACACCTTTGTGTTTACATCGTTCACAACGGTAGACATAGCGAGTCAACACGGTGTTCATATTGTATTTCTTCTACTTCTACCATATAGTGACCGCCTTCAACATATTGAAGATTATGTCACAGGAGGATAACTTACAACAAGATATAGATTAAGGTTCATGTGGACCCTTTGGCTAAAATGGCTGCATTTTCACCTCAAAATTTACTCTGAGTACAGACAAACCTGCGCATCTGGAAAAGTTTTAAGGCATATCATGCCCTAGATAAATAAACTTCTAATGCATTGTATGTTTTAGAAAATTTAAAACTTAACTGGATTTAGCAGTGCACTTTTTTTCGTCCCTGCAGAAGACGATAAAATTAACAAACAGTTGAGTTTCACTTGATATGGTCCACTCAGGTACACAGTTTAAATCACCAATTATTGTCAGGTATCTATTGTCCATCTATTATCCATGTCAATCAAAACAGTTCACTTCAATTTTTACCTGTGGGGAAGTTCTCAAACCTCTTTCTCAACTTAGTTTATTTTGGCACCTTCTGGAGGAATGAAAAAAAGTGCACTGCAAAATCCGGTTAAGTTATTAATTTTCTAAAACATAAAATATATTTGAATTTTATTTATCTAGTGCATGCTATGCCTTAAAACTTTTCCAGATGCACAGGTTTGTCTGTACTCAGAGTAAATTTTGAGGTGAAAATGCAGCCATTTTAGACGAAGGGTCCACATGAACCTTAATATATAAATTCCTTTTCGTTACAAGGCATAATGATTACCATTATGCGTAGTAATTTGCACGTGCATTCTAAGCGGAAATTTAATCATTCGACGGTTTGCATTCAACCAGTCTAGACGTTTAAAATTTAACTGCTGCTAAGGTCTGTTTGATTTTTTTGTTTCTGTTTTGTTGTTCATGTGTACTTTCGTTCACACGTATACGACTATTTTTATAGAACTGTACAATTCAATAGATGCACATGTACACTGCCCAATTTACAGTATTTATTAAATTTTTTCTTATTCATATCGTTGTGAATTGATTCTAATATTTTGAAATTGTATTTTATAGATTGTGCAGGCTGTTGATCATACTTCTAGTGAAAAGAATGTGGTAAGGACAGTTTTTTGCGTAACACCTGCAATTCTAGATTTTTGTTCTGTTGTTGTTATTATGCTTCGGCAGTATTATTATATGACTGGATGCTGCAAACCTACATCCCATAGAATATTTGTGTGTTGTGTCATTGAGCCTTGTATAGAAAAAAATGCTTTATTTTCGGTTTAATCCGTGGAAAAGAACATAAATATACAAATTAAAAATAGCGGGAAAATGAAAATTACAAATGTACAATTTATAGTTTGGTGTGAATAGTTGATTTTGATATTGATGTTTTGAGATTGAAGATTTGAAAGAGTCTGCTGATGTGCAATTTATGATGTTATCTGGTAGTTTATTCTTGGGATCAAAATTTTTTTCTGTACTGTATTTTGCAGGATGGAATTAGGAAACTGTTTGAATTTAAATGTCTTGTGTGTCTCTTTTGTGGAATTAGTTTATAATGTTTAGGTATTGCAACTTTTTCGTGTTTTATTTTATTTAGCATTTGTAATCGTGCATTTTTTTCTTCTGTCAGAGAGGCTGTGCCATTCGAGGTGTTGTAACATGTTACCAACGTTTGAGGTGTTTCTGTATTTGTTGGTTACAAAAGGGGCAAAACATTGTATGCTTAGTCTTTACCTTTGTGTTTATATCGTTTACATCGTAGACATGGCGATGATGAAAATAGCTTGTCAACATCGTATTGATGTCGTATACCGAGTCTTTACCTTTTAACATCGTTTACATCTTAGACATCGCGTTGTTGACAGTATCGTGTCAACATTGTGTTTATATTGCATACCGAGTCTTTACCTTTGTGTTTACATCGTTCGTATCATCAAATATTTTAAATCTGTTATGTGATCAATGTAGTAGTATACAATGTACATGTAATATAAACATTAATAATATTAATTGGGGAAAATCTCAAAAGAGAAATAGAACGAGTCAAAATAAAACACATAGTTCTGTAAATAGAAGTGGAAATAATGAAGCAAGTTGGTTACTTAAAAAAGGGTTTAAACTAGGTTGTTTAAATATTCAACATTTACAACCAAAAATTGAAGAAATAAAATTCCTATTAAAATATGAACAATTATTTGATATATTTGGTATAATGGTAGAAATATTTTTAAATGATCAAATTGGTACCGAAACATTACAAATTGAAGGTTACAAAATAGAAAGAAAAGATAGAAACGCTATTAATGATGGCGGAGGTGTGATTGCGTACATACGAAATAGTGTATGTCACCAGAGAAGAATCGATTTAG